TCTATAACTTTGTAAGTTCTACAGGATTATTAGAGTGATTTGATTTGATTTGACTCATATGAGGTTATTTCAAAAGTTTCGTCTTTTTTAATATCATGAGTTTTTGTAGATTCATATCTCAATAAATACTTATTTTACTGGGTCGTGGTATATACCTATCGCTGGAGAATTTTGTACAGTAAAATTTGTTTCAAATTGTAATATTTTGCCTTTATATGATGTCGTTAAGCGATTTTCAGCAAATTTTTTTCTACTAAATTAAATTGAACCAAAGCGCTGCCGAAACAGCCCCGAAGAATCCACCAGGCATTTGGCAATGACAATGTTAATGAATACACTGTTCAACGTTGATTTGCTAAATTTCGTTTCGGAAATTTTAGCCTCAAAGATGAGCCTCGAAGTAATTGACCTTCAGTAATCCAGGACGCGGATTTGAGGACCCTGGTGGAGACTGGCCCATTACAAGCAATGAGTGGGATGGCGGAAGAACTGGGCGTCAGCTCCCATGCGGTTTTTGATGGTTTAAAACGTATTTGAAAGGTCAGAAAGCTCTAAAAGTAGATATTCCACGATTTGAATGATCAACAGAAATTGTCACGTTTCGAGGTATGTTCTTCTTTGCTTTTGCGCAACCAAAACGACCTTTTTTGAAGAATCGGATCGTCAAGTGTGATGAAAAATGGATCCTCTACGACAACCTAAGAGGTTTCGGACTGAAGTTAGACACCGATGAGCCACCCAAGTGAAAAAATCGACGAAATGTACCGGAAATCACGTCTACCGTAGCCGGTACTGGTCAACAGAAGAGGAACGAATTCGCTCCACGACAACGCCTGTCCGCAACGTTAAACGAGTTGAGCGTCGACGTTCTGCTTCACCCACCTTATTTTTTAGACCTTCCGCCAATCAACTACCATTATTACAAGCACTTCGATGACTTTCTTACCGTTAGAACCTTCGCCAATTAGGACCAGGCCAAACTTATATTGTATCTACAATTACCACCGTGTGAGCTCTCAATGTAAATTGAAATGTCTATTGGAATGGATACTCATTGTTACTGAAGTTATCAGGGTACTGAGTACTATACTTCAAGTACTTCTCAGTACTGCGGTCATAGATACCTACTTATGATTTGTTAAAAGTTTTCTAGAACTGTTCAACCTCTTTCAACCCCTTTCTTCATTCAGTCCTCATTCATTTCCATTCAAAATACTTATTCACAATACTCACCGTAAGCAAAACCATCATCGTAATATCCCCCATTTCATTTCGTAGTACGAATTCATTCTTTTCCATTAAAATCAAAATGGAGTTGATGTCCAAGAGAATCACCAAAGACGCATAGGTCAAGAGGAAAAACAACGGCCATCCAAAAATAATATTGAAATTCACCACAATGTCGCAATACGACCCAAATACGGTTGCCATTTCTCTCAAATGGTTGGCTATTCTCATTTCAGAAGTACCACTGCAGAGAACCAGCTTGGTTTCATTCTCTATGTTTCTATGAAGATCGTCGAAAATGTCTGCCAAAATTCTTACTGAACAGATTACAAATAAAGCAGTGATCATCTTCAGATATAGATGGACACGTACGTAGCAAATCATCATCCAGTCTAGCAGTCCAATGTTTTTCTGTGCGATGAAATAACACTCCACGACAAAGAAGGCGATGAGAATCATATGTATCAAAACTGATATGACTAGAATCACGTTGCTTCTTTTTTTGCCATTTGTTTCTCCAAAACGTTCTACAACTTCTAATAAGTTTTTCCAGCGTTCTTGCCGGTACAGTGTGATCAGAATGTACGAAATGCTTGTTAAGGATCCCGCAGCATTTCTCAAGCGGTACAGCATCAGGAAAAATTTGGTCCTATTGAGGTCTTCAGTTAGATACGAATACACTAAAAATGATGTGAAAATAAACAAGTGACACATAGCTATCAGTCGATAACACTTGTTTCCTTTTTCTGCAAAATGAGGTGCCATACCCAAATAGGTGGCATAATGATATATTTTCATGAATATTTCGTAATATGTGTTGATGTTCATGATTGGATCGACAAAACTGAAATATTTTTCCAGTCGAAGGATTCGAAAAATGAAATACATTTAGGTATTTATTTGCTACCGACATAACGATCTAGATTGGAAGGATGATAACGATTGACATTTGTCATTATCGTCAACTAACGAGTTTTTCATGAATTATTAAAAACAAAATGAAAAGTTTTTTTCTCTTGAGCAAATACATTATAATTTTGAGAAATATGTTGAACTGAGAATACCGAATATTATTTGGGTTATTAGTATTAATAATTCCTGGTATAATGGGTTTCCAATAATTGGAAGATTTGAATATGAAGTGCAAATGATTAAATTAATTATATATAAGACAAAGTTGAATAGTTACACCACTTATAACTCAAAGAAAGCTGGACCAATTTTTATGATTTTTGTGTTTTTGGATTTGTCTTCGTCGGGAATAGGATAATAAGAATTATTATCCATAATATAAATCTTATTGTGACGATATTATCTTTAACAATGCCGTGACCGGCATCTGATGTTTCCTGACAAAGCCGTAAGGCAATTAGGATTCGAAACAACAAATACTTCCCTAGAACCACTTTCAATTTATACTTATGTGTTGTAAAATTGTTCAATGTCATTTGATAATTAATTATATATAGAGTTTAGCTTCCCAAATTTCTGCTATCGCAGTTGTCGGTTGATAAGTCAAACCACCAACACTGACATAAAAACTTGGCAAGTTGACTTGGGTGTGGCACCAAAATAAGTGGTTTCACTTATGTCACGTTTACGCAGTTATTTCTATTAAGTACCTACTTTTCTTGGTTATTCACATTTTGTCTTCAATCGAGGACCGCCTGCTCGGTACTGACGATGCCCAATAGGCTAAAACAACTGTCTACCGGTGGCTCTTAAGTTGAAATCAATATGGGAATGATCAGAATAGTACCTATACATTTCAGATTTCCATGACAATATAAATGACTGCCGTATACATCACTATGCAGATAATCCTCAATTTTACTACTCATTCAGTATAAATAACTCAAGAAAATGTTCATAAAGTCAATCAGGAGCTTGACAAGCTTTCGCAAATGCAGCCGCTCACAATCTGAAACTGAACACGAGTAGATCCCAATTTCTACTGATGGGTACGAAACGCAAAAGGACTCAAATTGAAGGTCTCATCGATGTACGACTTGGTGATGATACACTCTCAATAGTGAACGAAAGCAAAAACCCAGTACTGTGGTTTTACTCCGACCTCAGATTCCACAATCATGCTGGTGTAATTTGTCAGAACTCCTATAGTATTTGAAAGGGTTATATTTTTAGTAGTGAATAATTTTTAGAAAACATAGTTTTTGGCTTTCTACTCCTCCATTATGATACAGAAAAATGTGGGAATCTTTCAAAGAAAGAAAGGAAGTAATCAATTTTAAAAGAAGTAACTATATACATAGATGTGTGGACATGCAAAAAAGTAACTTTCAGACACAAACTGAAAGAAAGTCCTCCTGAAACAGCTACTTTCATATAAACATTGAATTACACGTAAGAAAAATTCTTTCCAAACAAATAATTTTATATGAACACTGAATTATACAGAAAACACTCTTTTCTACTCAGTTTGTATTCCAAACAAAAATGATCCGATAAGCCATAGCATCAAGTTTGGCCAGCAAACCCTCATGCCACACACGGTCAAAAGTCTTAGAAATATCAAGCGCAGCAGCTTTTGAATCTCCATGTTTCTCGATTGGGTTATTCCAAATATGGGTGACATACGATAGGAGGTCAGCTGTTGATCTTTGTTTCCGGAAGCCATATTGATAATCGCTCAAGATGTTGAATGAGCCTTTCAAATATTTGAGGCTATGGTGGTTTACGATTTTCTCCATGATTTTTGATATCACTGATAGCAAAGCGACTGGTTTATAGTTATTTTGGAGATTTTTCTTGCTCTTTTTTGGGAATAGGCTGAACGCGAGCAATCTTCCAACAAGAAGGAAAACCCCCTTTCTTGAAAGACAGGTTGAAATGTTTACAAAACACTGGTGTGAGTCTTTTCACAGAAATTATAAAAACTATTCCAAAATATGTTCGAAGACATTTCCAGTAACTTCCAGACATTTATCAACCCTCTTCACAATTTTGTAAAATTCATCAATGTTTTTTAGTGGATTGGTTGAAATATGAAGGTTACCTAACAGTGATAATTCAGTGGTGATGCTATCGTGCCAGTTTTCATCGACAAGCATTTTAATCTGACATATATATTATATAACAAATAAATTCACTATATATTTTGTTTATTTCATAGGACTACAGAAAAGTCCGCGATAGCCCATGTCTATCTTTTGAGAATGGTGAGAATTGGAATTGATATTGGTAAAGAAAGCTTCTGACTCTCTAGTCTCTACCTTTGTACAAAAAATGTGGGAAACTTTCAGAAGAATGAAGGAAACAATGAATTCCAAATTGAACTGTTCATAAAAATTGTGGAGATCATGAATCACTCCCAGATAAACTACAGATACAACTGATTTTATATAAACATTGAATTAAATGAAAGAAAAAATACTTTGGAAACAACGTTTAAGTGAAAATTGAATTATACAAAAATTACTAATTACTTTTTACTGGGAACATGCATTATGGAATTGAATCATATATGATTCACAGGAACGATACATAATATAGTATATGAAAAAAATGAAATTTCACCCACTTGGAACACTGTCATCATCATCTCCAAAATCTGACATGACATTACGACTTTATGTCACGGTATGAAATATTTGTTGTCACTAGGGTTAATTTTTCAGTTACACAAGTCTATGCAAGTTTCTGAAATTTTGATTGATATAATATGGAACACGATTATATTTAAAAAGTTAGGAAACTGAAATATCTAAATTTCATGAGGAAAATAAAATTTCTATTGGCAACTCTGCTCTTTCTTATGAGCCTTGAATGTCAATAGTAATATTAAATAGGCAATGTCAAATGTCATATAATTTTTGGAAATTTGTTGATTTTTAGTTTAGAATAAGAAATATATAAATTGCAAAATTAATGAAAACTCTACATTTGGAGAAAAGGAATAACAAACTTTATCGAACTGTTTCATTCCAGTAGTGCACGGATTCCGATTTATTTTTACAACTATTATGCCATGTATGAATCAATAAACCCAGCCAGATGACGAAAGCTATGGATATTTTAGTCATATACTCCTTAATTTTATGTCTTTGTCCTATTTTGGGCTGGGCAAGAATACATAATTTGGATATAACGGTAATTCTTTTTATACTATTTTTACAGTGTTTTTTTGAATTTCAATATGCAGAAAATTAACCTAACTAGACCAGGGCCTCAAGTCAGCTCCAGTTGATTTCACTACCTGTGATGTTCCTGATATCATTATATATTAATTTATTTGTGAAAATATCTAAGACAGAATGAAATAGTGCCTCTTTATGCAAGTCGTTAGCCTTAATGTTTACTGAAACTCTCAGTATCATTTCTAATTTTGACTACTCATACCACAAGAGAATAATAATATATGATAGAGTTATCCGATAATTGATAAAAATCTGTAACGTTCAAGTATCACTATTGTGAGATTTTCACTGGACAGTTTACAATACCTTTCTCAAGCGTTTTTATATGACATAAATACCTAATATTCTCTAAAGCCGAACAAAATCATTTCTCAGCCTCCATGTGTGAATATGTGACTGATGCTTTTTTCTGTCTTTCATGGTTCAACTGCAATCAATCCAAAATATAAACTTTCAAATCATAATAAAAATCTGACACATTTATATAATAGAATATAATTTATACATCTGGAAATGTATGTAAAGCAGTAAAAACACATTGACATCACCCAAATTCATCAGACTAATCAGAAACAAGGCAATAATAGTTGAAATGCATTAAAAAATAGTTTAAAAATGAAAATTCATGTGTACTATAAAGGCATGTTAAACTAGAAATAGCATTGATGTATAGAGCACAAAATTATCTATCAATCAGTAGGTATATACCACTACACAGTAGAATTAAAATATATTGGGATATTGAGCTACAAAAACACATGACATTAAAATTAACAGAACATTCAAAACAACTTATAGTGGTTCTTTCAATGTGTTTCATATATTTTTGACAACGTTTAAATCTGTTTTGACACACTTTATATTTTCAGAATGATGCTAGGAGATACTTTGCTCTCAGTTCTTTCGGATTCTATTCCGGAGGTTACTTAGAGGTGGAATTGATCAATTTCAGAGCTAACCCTGAAAACGATTCATCAGTGGTAAGAAATAATCTTGTAGATTCTATAGCATTTGTTGATAACTCAACTAAGTGAAAATAAATGCTAATATCCAAATGTTAGATACATTTACTTGTACGTTTCTCGAACTTTTCCATTGCATTATCAATAACAAAGAAATTAAGTTTGGTTTCAGTCTGGATAAAACCATAAATGATGGTATGAACCCTTACTTGGAAGGTCACCAAGATCACTGCATTCTTCAAGATCCTGTTGAAAAACGTGATGACGAAATCGTTGTCATTTTCAAGCTAGATCTCAAAAATGAGAAGTAAGTATATTATATTTTTACAGTTATTTTACACACATCAGAACTACTTTTTTTGATATATATTATGGTAGATATCTATGAATATACTTCATGTCCTGATGATACCAACTTGGTGGGTAAAATGTGTTAGGAAAACTAACGGAGTGTTGTCATAATATGTATTCAATAACAGAATTCTAGTATTATATTTTGAATTTGCAGGTTGCGAATTGACTGCAGTGAACCGAAGAGTGTTCATATTTATGAGAACAAAGATGATATGGCCAAATCAGCTATTGGTACATGTAAAAATTTGAATTTTGACATAAAATCACTGAAGCGCAATGGACCAACTTATTACAATACCTCTGTAAGTATGTTATTCTGCTATAAGATCTGTTTGGATTTTTTTAATATTACTTGATTGATTTTGAACATATTTTAAAACACTTCGTAAGATTTTCACAAAACAGTTTACAAAACCATAATACATGTTGTCTTAAAATTTCCATGTTATAACATTTTGGGTCTATTGTATCCAAGATCATTCCAAAAGAAATATTTCAAACCTTTGGCTTGCAAATGTTATTAGAGTTTTTTTATATAGTGTCATCTCCAAAGTATGCACCATGTGGGAAACTTATTTATTAAAGGTTTTTCGACAAAATGTTATTCCTGATAAAAGTTTGTGCATCCCCTGAAACTAAACATGCACCAACAAAATACAGTAAATCATACGTAATATACGAGGAGCCTCCAAATATTTTATTTTGAGACAAGAGTAAAGTTCTCTTATTTTGAAAAATTTCGGGAAATGTTATTTAGAAAAGTTAATCATCATTGAAAAATACATCTAGATATGAAGTCATGGCCATTCAAGTGGAGTTTTATTTTTTTATCCATTTTTTAAAAATGGGGACTACGAAAAAAAAAATTCTGAAACCATAAATAGACAGCATCCTGTATAAGACGAATTATTTCAAAAGTCTGCAATATTACAAATCACACAACTATGATGTTAACCACAGTCAATTTTTTCGAAGAGTAAAATAATTTTCAAAGTTTTTGGTGCAGTTATTTTTATTTTTTGTCAACACCAAAAATTACTTAAAATTATACAGTATTGTAACAAGAACCTAATATTCAATATTATCAAATCACAAAACATCGAAATAAAATAGGTATTTTGGAACATACTCATTGATTTTCTGGAGATTATTTTGGAGAATTATTTTGGACAAGAAAATCTCTCAAGTATGAAGCAATCCAATTATTTACCACATCTCTAACTCCAATATGGTACAATTTATCAAGTAAGAGTGTATGTACGATTGTTTCAAATGCCCTACTGAAATCAAAGTATAGGGTTATCAGGCGTTCTTTCCCATTTAATGCAGCGTAGGTATTCATACACAAGTCTGCAATTGCTGTAGTTGTGGATTCATTACTTCTAAATCCATTTTCATAACTTAATAGGAGCTTCTGGCTTTCTAAAAATGAATTAAACTGGATATTAAATGAGGCATCAAAAATTTTTGCGAAATGTGTCTAAAGACATACATTTCGATAGTTTGTTATATCCTTCCTGCATCCTTTATTTTTGTAAATCGGGATTGACTTTGATGTTTTCAACATTTCTGGGTAGATTCCTGCCTTGAAAGATTCATTTATAATATATGACAATGGTGTACTTATTATTTCTTTGACATATTTCATAGTTTTCCCAGAAATTCCATCTATGCCTTGAGCTTCTTTACGTGTGGTTTTCATAATATAGTCTTCAATGTCTTTGGGTGTTGTTACTTGTTTATAATTCAGATAAAACAGTGGTTATTCAATTTTGTAATTGTCAAGAAATTCTTTACCCACTATATATTGATGTGGATAATCATCCAATTCCATTGTCGAAAATTACCAAGTTTTTGTGTGTTGAGATTGATACAAACCTCAACTTCAAAGCATATTGCGATTGATCCATACTAAAATTGCATGCTTCAGCATTTAAGCTACAAAATATTGGCTATTCATGTCGATTTCCTTCAACAGACGCCACTCATACAATTAACACTGCAAAAAAATCATGTCAAGTTCCGCTAGCTCGAGGGAGGATTGTTGTGAAAGATCTTAATGTTGCAGGTCCTTTTAATGTTTTACCAGCTGAAATGAAAATGCAAAACATCAGAGGGGTTATAATTTACCATTAAGTTTAAGTGACTATTCCTAATACAATCATCTATAAAATTATCAAACAGGAAAATAGATAATTTGATTTAATTTGACTTGAATACGTTATAGATTTGAGCAATGTCGGAGGACAGTGGGACGCGCATGGGGTCTTTCACCCCGTGTGGTCACCTGGATCTACACTGCAATAATAAGACCTATGTTAACGTATGGAGCTATTGCATGGGGACCGAAAGTTCTACAAGCAACGGCCATCCAAAAATTATACCTAATACAGCGAATGGCTTGTTTAAACATCACAGGAGCCATGCGAACAACACCAACCGCAGTGATGGAATTAATCATGGGCCTGACCCCTCTTGATCTGTACGTTAAGGAGGTTGCCTTGATGGCCATGGTACGATTGCGCACGGCTGGTGTAAACCTCGAAGTAGGAATGAGTCAATTGAACCCAGGTTTGTGTTTAATAAACCCTACAAAATACAAATAAAGCAGAACACAGAGTCAGATGCTACAAATGCAATAAGGATTTATAGAGACGGCTCAAAGACTAAAGAAGGCTCAGGATGTGGAGTGTACTCCAGATCACTAAGCCTAAGAATTAAGTGAGGAAGAAATACCAGCGTGGTCCAAAGAGAACTGGCTGGTATCTCAATCGCCACAAAATAATTAACCAAAAAAGGAATTTCTGGCAAATACATAACAATCTGCACTGACAGCAGACAAGCCCTATTAGCCTTGAACAGACAACGTATAACCTCAGGGCTAGTACTAGAGTGTCACCAAGATTTAGCCAAAGCCTCGGTAGAGAATAACATTATCCTGAGGTGGGTTAAAGGTCACGACAGGAGTAAAGGTAATCGCATTGCCGACTTTTTAGCCAAGGAAGCGGCTGGACTAAGAATTTTAGGACCCAGTGGCACAAACGGCCTGATGACTTCGACAATTGCGGAACTAGTCAAATGTTACACCCGTGCTCAATCATTAAAGAGATGGGACGAAAGCAAAGGATGTAATCTTGCGAGGATCACCTTGGGTGACCCTGGGAAGCTGGCGCCGAAGAAATATTTGGCAATGACCAGGAAAAATCTATGCCTAACAGTAGGATTTCTGACTGGTCACTGTCAACTAAGGAAACACCTCCATAATATGGGGCTGGTGAACACACCTCTATGCAGGATGTGTGAATAGGAAGATGAGACTGTCAGGCATGTCCTGTGCGAGTGCCCGGAGTTATCGTCAATAAGAGAGTGTGTGTTCGGCGAGTCTTGGCCTACACCTGCCGATATGAAGGAGATGTCTCCCAGTGACCTGTCCACCTTCCTGGAAAGGACAGGATGGACGATGACCTAGGAGGACAACTCTTTGGGATACAGATACGTTATAGATTTTCATCAAGTATTGCTCCGATCTACCAAATATTTTTCGTTAATTTAAGAACCTGCCTCAATTATAATTATATGTGCTAACAAGGACTACATTAGTGTAAATAATTCTGACTTCAGTCATGTATATAAAATTTTCTCTTCTGCTTACAAAATTAACTGGTATATCAGTCTTCTCAACTTGTTAGAGTGAGTTCTGTTGAAAATATGTATTTGATATACGTTTATGTAAGTTTCTGAGTAATGTGTTTATTTTTCAGTTTGTTATGGCCGTTAAAACTTTGCAAGAAGAGGGCCTCTACAATCTTTTCTTTCACAGCTGTCCAAACTACAATGCAAATACAGAAACATTCGTTGACTTCACTATCAAGATAATTGAGCAGAACCCCACTAGCTATCTCTCTGCTGGTGATATGCCCCTACCAGCCCTTTACTGCATGATGTCCATATTATTCTTATTATCCGGCATGTTCTGGGTGTTTCTCCTTCGACAGTCCAAGCACCCAGTTTTCAAAATCCACTACATGATGGCCGTGCTGGTGTTTTTGAAAGCTGTTTCACTAGCCTTCCACGGTGTCAACTACCACTACATAGAAAGACTTGGAGTGCATCTAGCGACGTGGGCCATATTGTTTTACATAGCGCATTTGCTGAAGGGGGCTCTGCTGTTTGTTATTCTCGTTTTGGTCGGTACTGGATGGACTTTCATCAAGCACGTGTTAACACAGAGGGACAAGAAACTTTTCATGGCGGTAATTCCACTACAAGTTCTCGCCAACATGGCGGAAATAATCCTCGAGGAAAGCGAAGAGGGTGCGAGGGAATATCTAGCGTGGAAGAATTTTGTTATTCTCGTCGACTTGCTCTGTTGTGGTTGCATAATGTTTCCCGTGGTCTGGTCCATAAGGCACTTGCAGGAGGCATCCCAGACAGATGGCAAAGCGGCAACGAACTTGCGGAAGCTCAAGCTCTTTCGCCACTTCTATGTCATGTTGGTGTGTTACATTTATTCCACCAGAATCATCGTGTACTTGCTGAAAATCACAGTGCCTTTTCAGTTCGGTTGGTTGCACGAGATGTTTCGCGAGATGGCGACATATGTCTTCTTTGTGCTAACCGCCTACAAGTTTAGACCTGCATCCCAGAATCCTTACTTTGCTCTAAGCGATGATGAAGATGATGATGTTAATGAAGTGTGAGTATTTACTTCAGATTTGGTGTTTAATTTCGATAAACTTTGAAGTATGTTTGTAAGTATGTTAATCAAAATATACCTATCAAAATTGAGTGACCAATTAGTGTGCCATAGTTAAATGTTTCCTGAACGAAGTGGAAAACTTTTTAGAAACGTTTTGCTACTATGAGTAAAGTATAAATTAAACAAATGTGTTCCAAACAGTAAACATGTAGAAAACAGGTAGTTTGGCTTCCTATTTCTTCATTTTTATACAAAAAATGTGAGAAATCTCCAAAGGAACAAAGAAAACAGTCAAGTCCATAATGAATTCTTCACAAAAACGTGTCAATTATGCGTAGGAGTTACCTTCAGAAATAAACTGTAAAAAACCCTCCTGAAACAACTACTTTCATGAATATTGAATTACACAAAAAAATTACTTTTGAAATAATTACTTTCATGTCAACATTTAATTATACGTAAATCATTTTTGAGTTATGACATGAAATTTCACTTACATGGAACACTATTTATTGCCTTCAATGGCGGACTTCAAAGTTTTGGGATAAGACTCTTGTCTTATTTCTTCATTATCACTTTTCCTTCTTTCACAAGTTTCTCATATTTTTCATATAAAGGTCGAGGAGTAAAAAGTCAAAAATATACTTTCCCAAAAAACTAGTATCTGCTAAAAATATACTCATTTCAATTCAAATAGTAACCAATAAGGTTAGAGTCAAACAACCGATTGGACTAACTGAAGGAGAACAAGTGAAATTTGTGAACACATTATTTCCACTTCACCAGATCAAAAAATGGGACAGGCTACCAACTGCATCAGTGGAAATACCACCGTTCACAATGGATGAACTCATGGAAGCCAAGAGACGACTAAGAGAAAATAGTCTCTCAGTCCGGATGATCTCCCAGCTGAAGTAATTGATGTTGTTAAGGCACACCTAGAGCTAGGTCTGAGAATAATGAACCTCCTATAACAGGGCAATTCCCCAAAGAATGGAAGATAGCCAGACTCGTTCTTATTGAAAAAGGCAGAAATAAATTGTACAGGCCCATGTGCATCTTGAACATCATGGGAAAACTCCTCAAGCATTTGATCAAGGCGAGACTATCAAGAGAAATAGTAAGAAAGGGTTACCTAAATGAATATCAGTTCAGTTTCCGAGAAGGTAGGTCAAAAACAGATGCACTGGCAAAGGTACAAAACATCGCAGACGAAGCAAACAAAAGGATTAGCAGGAAAAGATGCACCATGGTAACGTTGGATGTACAAAACACTTTCAACTCCGCACCATGGGATGGGATCCTGAAGGAAATCAAAAGAAGAGATGTACCTGCATACCTGTACAGTATGATTGCCAGCTAGCTTGAAGAGGGGGTGCTAATAGTAGGATACAAGAGAATAAGTATAGTTTAAAAAAACTAAAAAACACGCTTCTAAGGAACATCGAACTAAAAAGGTAAAAATAATTTTTTTAAATAAGCTTTAAATAATAGCGATCAAAAAATACTAGTATTATTGTGAAAAAAGCTATGTGTGCTTGATATATAAAAATATGGCACAAAGCGCCCACGCTTTTTTCACAATAATACTAGTATTTCGTTAGTTATTGTTTCAAGCTTGTGTAAAAAAAAAATTCAACTTTTTAGTTCGATGTTCTTTAAAAACATGTTTTTTAGTTTTTTTTAACTATATTTATTTTTTACTTCTTAGTTTCATATGCTATAAAAGCGTGTTTTTTAGTTTTTTAAACTATATTTATTATTTTGATTTTCTTTTGAACAACCTATCAAGGAGTTTACGTACAGCGCCATCTGCCCGCGAACAGATCAAGAAATAATGCCGATAATTCTGTCAATACAGATCCCGAGCTTGATAGTTACAAACAAACATACATATACATACATACAGGTGAAGCTAATATAAAGCGTACTTATGATGAACTGTTTGGAACCTTTGGTGTAGTAATGAATATTACTGGAGTTTTTTCCCAACACCAAATCGTTATTTTTAACACCTCGACACTCAAACTTTTAAGTTTACTCCGATAAGTTACTGCGTAAAAATCAAAGTATTTTTCACAAAGAAAAATCTTCTATTCATCAGTAACTTGTCGTATTTAACAATTTTGCCTATCAAAAAAATATTAAGAAATAATACTTATCTTTTATGTTTCGGAGGCCAAAATCTGCCTCTGTCTTCAGAAATGGATAAGAAATTTGAATATATTCGCAGTTATTCCTTTTTTGATATCTTATTTCTTTAATTCTTCGACAGATGTCAAGGAAGTTTTGAAATATGAAATTATGTCAATATTGACAACTGAAACATTCGATGTAATACAAGGTACTCTCCGATATCAGTTTGTTGCCATTTTGCCACTATCCAAAGTTTTCTTCAATACGGGTAGCCAAGTACGGTCTATTTCTAAGGAGCTATTCGAGATACAATTCTCTCCAGACATGAGCATATACGCTGTTTCTGTTAGCTTACGTCTCTTAGAATGAGGCTCATTGGTAATCATTCTTGTCCAAGTTACTGATAAATAGAAGATTTTTCTTTGTGAAAAATACTTTGATTTTTACGCAGTAACTTATCGGGGTAAACTTAAAAGTTCTCCATTCTAATTTTTATATTTTTCAGATTATGGAAGATAACAAATACCCAAAAAAAATCGATGAAAAACTGATTTTTTCCTCCACAAAAAATGACTTTCGTTAAATATCAAATAGGTTACGTACAGCGCTATCTGCCCGCGAATAGATCAAGAAATAATGCCGATAATTCTGTCAATACAGATCCCGAGCTTGATAGTTACAAACATACACACAAACAAACATACATACATACAGGTGAAGCTAATATAAAGCGTGTTAAAATGAACATCAACGTGGTGTTCCACAAGGATCCGTAATTGGTCTCACGTTGTGGAACATATACTATGATGGGATACTAAATCTGATGGTCCCTAGATAATTCAACCTGATAGACTACGCATATACCTAGCCGTAGTGGTTTTAGAAAAAAATTAGGAAAGTCTGGTAAAAACTCTCAGTAGAATTGTGAAGGATATAGCCGAGTTGATGCCCCTCAGAAGTTAGAGGTAGTACTGCTGGCAGCAGGCAGGAAGCTGAAAAGTATCATGATTGAATTGGAATGAAATGAAATGCTTTATTTATTCAAATAGGATACATCCTAATATATACAACAATGATAGTAATGTTAACATTAATAAATACATATAAATACAATAATACAAAAAAGATCTACTTATATTTGTTAATAAGTAGTCTTACCTATGATGATTGAAAATACAAAAAGAAGAATAAAAGATAAAAAATATCACATAATACCTTAAATGGTCTCTTAAATGGTCTAATAAATCTCTTTTGAACAGAATAAGACTGTTAGAAGACTTTACATTTTCAGTTAGACTGTTATACTTAATAAATCCTTTGAACATTAATGTTTTAGTGTTGAATGTTTTTGTTTGATTATTTACATACGGAGGAGGAAACGAACATCTGTAGGCAAGAATCCAGAAAAGGAGGAAAAGCATAAGCAGGATAATGCCCAACGTTGGGAGATCTCGAGAAGATAACAAAAGAATAGTCCGTTCAGTCGTCCGGTCGATCATGCTTTATGGCACAACAATCTGAGAAAAAGCCATATAGAAATATATTACTAAGTGTCCAAAGAAAAGCAGTCATAAAAATAGCATGTGCGTATAGAACATCATCAACCAAAGCTCTGCTGATGATTGCAAGAACCCCTCCAATAGATCTACTGGTTGTCACAGGGCGACGAAAAATTTTCTACTCACCGAAAAAAAAAACTACTACTACTATTATTTAACCCATCTGATCTGAATCTTTGGCACAGATCAAAACAGCAATGTGTGATAAAGGATCCTGGATGCAAGGGTTTTGCATTCTGGTATCAACTAGTAAAATCTTTGCAGTGAAAGCTGCAGAGGACGAATCTTGCTTGGAGGTCGCTGTAAAAGTTCACTTTTGCATCAAACCATCTTGGGGACCCTTGTTTCTCGGCTGATAACCACATTAAATAACTACATCGTATTACCAGTGCGCTCTCTGATGGTCTAGGTACTATAAATTCCAGGATACACTAAAATCATGTTTATGAACTTCTATGGGTTTGTATTCTTTAGTCTAGATCATGTATACAATGTTTTGAGACTCTTATCATTCAAATAAGCCTTGCAGCCTTTTTGTTGAATGTCTGGAGGACTATTGTGCATCTTCACAAATGCTTTTTCAGTTATTCAATGTCCTAATTCATTTAATCATAGTATCGTTTACATGGTTTTACCATACAAGATTATAGTTGAAACATCATCTTCAGTTTTGAAAATTATTTGATTTGTTTTCTAGTAAAATTGAAACAGACTCTGTTGTATGACCATTTTACTGAAATATTATCACATGTTCAAATTGAAGTTGATTTCGTTTTTTAAACTGTCCATACTTTCACAGGCTTACCGAATCAGGGGCTTTAGAGGGTTTGAAGAAGGTGAACTCCAGAGTAGTGAAAGTGCCTCTGAGCCAGCAGATGCTTACTGAAGTGACAGAGGAAGAAAAAGACGCCTTGCTGGGCCAAAAAGAAAACAGTCATGAATACGATTGATCATCGAGAATGAGCTATTATTCATTTAAGGCACTACTTAGTTGTTGTCTACTGTGATAGAATTGGAACTCATTCATGAACTGTGACTTCTGATATTTTACATTGTACGTTTGCATGTGATTTTTTTCAACACTTGGTTTCTTTGAGTAGGGTAATAACCTGATATTGTTTCACAAATGAAATAAAATACTTATGACTAAGATTGCATTTTATTGAATTATCAATGTAAATGTCGAATAACTGGTTTACTGATCCAATTATTTTTTTTTCAAGAAGGGTAGGTTGGTAACAGGATCAAATTTTAATACAAAAAATAATTTTCTTGTCAACGTCTACAATTAATTGAATTCTTCTTCAGGGCTCTGTAACAAAGAATTTTTATAAAGATACCCCCCACAAAACTTATAACTGTTGTCATTTCAATTTTACGAGGAATCATGATTTCTCAATTAAATTACTCACTGAAAAGAAGTTTGTTCGTATTGAAAAAAAAAATCATTTTAAAAAAACCTCAGTTATATCAGTCTGATGTTTTTTGAAATCGTTATTTTTTCAACACGAAGATATTTCATTGTTACAGAGCCATAAAGAAGAATTTCCATTTTC